CATGAGCAAGCGTGATTCGAGAGTGGCGAACATTTGACGGACGAGAAAGGGAGACGACGACGGTCGAGATGTGCGATGACGACAGACATGACGACAGCAAAGAAAATAATGTCTTTAACTTTGATTCAGGTGAAAAGTGTAAAATACAACATAAAATAGTCAATTAAAACCAGTAAAATTTGCAGTAAACTAGAATGAATGGAACTTGTTACCTTACAGAATCACTAACCTTACCTATGGTACCTTTGATCAAACGATTGATGAATGATAGAAAGTATTAGGTAAAAAAAATTATTACAACATAGAATTGCAGATGAAACTACAGAAATTGAGTAAGAAGGCAACCCAAAGGTTCGATCAATAATCCGGCCAATGCGCACGTTGTGTGGATCGAATCGGGACACCCATTTCACCCTCTCCGACATTTCGGATCACCTCCAGAAACTAGCAGCAGCCAGCAGTAGCAACAACAACAGCAGCAGCAGCAGCAGGAAAGAGTGACTGGATGCGTGGGAGGACGAGGGGGAGGAGGAGTAGGAAGGAGAGGAGGGTCAGATTGGGACTTCTAACCCAGTATGACTCAACAAGAACACATGACTCAAACAAAACTTTGAAAAAGGAACTAGTAAAAAAAAGTATTGAATACAACTCGATCAGACCATTCTAATACCAGTGAGTAATACTGAAAGTAACAAGTTACGAGATTTATGAGGAAGTAATAGGCCACCCCAGAGCCAGGGTAACACAAATTCAATCGTAATCAATAGGTGAAAAACGCCTGATCACATGCCCTTCACAAAGGTTGCGTTGAAACGAAACGTACGATCAATTCATAAATAGAATTGGCATTGTGTAATAGGGCACACCACTAGGGAGCACATGACAATCAGTGGAAGAAAATCACTTGAGTATTACTAGTAAACCCCCGTTTCTTTGAGTTCTGTTATAGTATTTTGTATTTCTTCCGAACAAACAAAACGAAACGCTGAAAAGAAAAACGTTATATTCAAACGGAGCACACATTTCATGTGCATATCTAAACTGCGAATAGTTTTATATTCAAATCAGAAAAAAAACGTCAAAAAAGCATAATAATATATTCCAGTTCGACGACACAACATGGCCCTTAAACATATTCACGATAAGATTCGAATTTGATTCATATGTTCAACGAATATCTGAGAACACAATCATCTGATTTCCGTAAGGATACAGTAGAAAAACAGTATTGTAACAAAAATATTACTAGTACTATTTATAGCAAAGTAAAATGTATGAGATGTGAATGTGAGTGATAATTCGGGGCAGCGAAAATTGAAGGGGGGAGGGCCCCGAGTTGTTCTCAACAAAAACGGCGCTCGAAACGAGATCAGCTGCTGCCGAATGCTGGCTGGCCGGCTTCGTCGTCCTGAGGCGCCCGCTCAGTGTGTGTGTGTGTGTGTGTATGTGTGTGTGGTGTGTATGTGTATGTGTGTATGGGTGTGTGTGTATTGAGTTGAATCCCTGGGGTTTGAACGTAATGTTCCTCGAGTTCTAGATAGACACAGAGAGACATAGGAAGGGAGGTGAAGAGATGTGTGAGAAAGGGGAGAAACGAAAAACACACACACCAGCCAGAGAATTCTCTTCTCAAATAGTAAAATGTTATACGAAATGTTGATAAATGGTAATCCTCAAAATGTTCCGAGGACCAACGTGAGAACGACCCAACTAAACCTTCCCTCACAGCTGGTCGATAATTAGACGGATGGAGATTATCGAAAGAAACAGCCACAAACACCTTCTTCCCACTGATTCCAACAAATCTCAACACTAACATTTACTCCATTTTACCACTCTTATCATATTTTATCACCAATTTATTTTAATTATGACTATCTTATTCCCTAGTATTATCATAATTTTACGTTTTGATTTAATTTTTAACTATGAGATCTGTTAAACAAGAAATTCAGGTAGACTGAACAAACAGTAGGTCTTTTTACTAGTAACTATCAAAAGTCATCGGCAATTTATCACACGGGTAGGGACTGATTAAGCCCACGGGTAGGGACTGATTAAGCCGAGAGCTTTAGAGAACATATCCAATAAGCCCGAGCCAAAGTTGTCACTAGTAGAGTATAGAATCGAGATGATGGCTAGAGCTATGGAAGGTGATGAAACGCAAAAATTTAGGAAACCTGTAAAATTGCCTATTTGGTAAAAGATGGGGATGTTTGAAGAAAAATAGCAGTAGGAAAAATATGGGAAGAAAAAAAAGGGGAAAAATCAAAAGGGAATGGAAGGGGAAAAGGACAGCTTTTCAATGGCTTCCTCGTGCTCCATAACAAGCGCAGCGGGGTTTTTTTCTGACAAAGCGCTCGTTCGCTGTGTCAGACTTTTCCGAATATATCTCGAGAAAAAAAGTAGAAATGAAGGAAAAAACAAAATTGGCATGTTTCCAAGACATGACAGATAATGAAATAAGCACGACCAGTAATACTTGAGACAATTGATTTCAAAGAGCAAAACAAGTTTTTTTGTCATAATAAAAGTAAGCAGTAATCACATTAATTTCCATGAATTGCCAAAGAATTAAGCTGAATGGCAAACTTATTACAATACTACACGTACTAGAGTAATTGGTTTTGTGAGGCTTCAATGTTATAAGAAAGTGGGAGGGAGGAAGGGTGGGAGGGTGGGAGGGAGGGGAGCGAAAGAGTTAGCCATAGAGTTCCTGATTACAAAGCAGCGGAAGTGACGCATGTATTTCAGTGCACGAGAGGTTTGCTAGCGAGATAAAACACACAATAACAAGGCGCTTTTATCGATTTTTTCCCATAGACCTTTAACGAAATCGTAGGTTTATCGGAAATCGGAAGAAATTTCATGTAAGGCCCCCAGACTTCCCCCATAGCCATCATCACCGGTCATATGTGACGATTTGAAAAGTCATCAACAAATAACAGGCAATCTAGTGAAATAGAATTCCTATTACTGCATAGAGGTTAGTAACGAAATAAAGTAATAGATTACGGAACCCATTTACTTTTTATATCCTTATATAGTAATGCAGTCTTGTTTTCAGATGTTGCATTTGTTAGGTTACCATATTCGAGACTACAATGTAAACAAAAGCAATCTTAGCCAAGGCAGTTCTATGTTTACAAGAAAACGAAACCAAACTAGTAATAGAACTGGGATCACAGCAGTAATAAGTGACTTCTAAAAAGAGACGAGCTGTCCAGAATCGTCGTATCAGATAATGTCAGACGGCATACTGGTGTTTTTTGAAGAGGGTACTTTGCAGAAAAAACACAAAAAAGAGAGATATTTGAAAAAGTAACTACTCGACTGACTGATAACTAATAAGGGCAGTTTTTGAAAACAAGTAAATACGAGTAGAACACTGATTAAAATGTACGATTGGTATGATGAGATACATAGGTTGGAGGTAGTTGACGCAATGAGGTCGCAACGCAAGAAACCCCCCTTACGCGATCGGATCGATAAACCGGGGGGAGAGGGGTTGGGCCACCCACGGTACCAACGGAGATGAACTGTGGAACCGTGAGGTAATTGGCTAGGCGCACGCCTGCATTGTTTGACAAGACACGAAACGAAACGTACAGAGCGGATAGAGGGTGTAGGAGCATCCCCCTTACATAATTGACTACTTACAGCTAGAACAGCTTCTTCCTTACCAGTAAGTAATGCGGAAGCTATGGGGAATAGATCCGGAAATATGACCGACCCTCGAAGTCTGTCTGACCAACACCAACCAGCAGTTCTCAAGGTCAAACCAACCCCGCCGACACCGATCTGCATGAATTTACAGCTCGAATCTCAGCTCAATTCGAGGCCACTGGCCTATGAAAGTTATATTGGAGTAATTACTGGTACGTATCTGCGTATGGTATTCATGCAGAATACAGATGAAGCAGAGAAAAATGCGACAAGTATGAAGCGGTACAACCCTCCTACGGGGCAGAGGCAGAAGGAATTGGGTATACTATCATCAGTTACAGTCTTGTACCACTGAGTAGACAAAAAATAAGGTCAACAGGAGCTAGCCTACGGTTTGGAAGCGGTGGGGAGCAAAAAAGAAATACTACTGAAGCTCGTCAGCAAATTCTTGCTACCAAGCAGTCATAGAACCTAGTACTGCATTATTTATTAGGAGTAATCAATATGATGACAAATTCATGGGGAAAATATTACTGGTACCTATTTAGTACTAGAAAATCACTACCAAAATAGCGGAACAAATGACGCGCACGACGAAGTCGTCTCACTCGATGTGTTCGCCCTCTCGTCGTTGATTGTCGCGCCCCGCCTTGGCACCAAATATCCACAAAAACCCCTTGACGTCGATGAACAGCACATGAATTAAGTAGTAATAACAAATTGTAATGATTACTTACTTACTGTTTGAATAGTCTAGTTAATGCATGTAAAAGGAACTATGTAATATCGTCCAATAATTTTACGTGTGTAGACGGCAGCAAAGACCCCATCCGGAATCGGGCACATCCATCATGGCCACAAAAAAACGGGGCGTCCTCATTTCTGTTTCGTGGCTCCAAGAGCTATTCCAATAACATGCACGTACAAGGAAAACATCCTGAATTTGCAGGCTTCCCCCTAACTAGTAAGTTTCCAAATTTTGTATTCAAAAGGTTATTTACCTATTAAACACAATGCAAATCTCTATTCATACTACTTTAGATGGTCCCAAATAAGGTGGAATTCAAAAACGATAATGTGGGATATTCCAAGGAAAATTTTATCTCGACATCCGAAGAGTATTCCTCTTCCTAATTAAAATAAAATAGTAAAAAAGTAACTGCGCAATAGCCAATAGTAAGGAAAATTCGGGAAGCTAACAGAGCTCCACAGCCACCGCGACGCAACCGCGCGCTTTCGACGATCATTCCAAGTTCTGTAACTCGTTTTTTTACGTATTTGGTATCCGGTGTCCAGTCATACCTGTGTGTTTTGAGTATTATTCTGGATTTATCTTGTTAAATAAATTCTGTTATGATGATAAACGTTTGTTTGGTTCGAGTAACTTGCTTATAAACCATTTATCCTTCTATTTACTTAATATCCGGTGATTACTTAGTAATTTTTGTCAAAATTCAAACACAAAGATGTGAATATTCCAGGACTATGGCAGGCATGGCTAATAATATCAAATTCAAGCTTTTCACCAAAAGACGCCTTTTCCTCGCCGTACTAACAATATTCGCTGTGGGACCTTACTACATTTATACTTTACTCTTTTTAAATTGAGCAATTCACAGTCTTTTGTGTTCACTGTAATTTTTTACAGACCATCGGCTTATATTCCCTCGGTGTGGGTATTTGGTTATACCTCGAACGAACGGATTTTCACGAATTAACGCCTACCTCTTTTTCTGGTAATTTTTTCGCTTCTACCAGCACTCTATCTACTCTTTTTACTAGTTTCGCGATCAATATCTCTGGAGTATTCAGCCTTTTCCACTGCCGGCCTCTGTTGCTCTACTGGTGTAGCGGTTTGGATCATCTGCACCGTTGGATATTTTAGTGCTGTTTCCTACAATAAACGCCTTTTGTATACGGTAGTTACTAGTACTTGCTATTTTTAACCAGTTTAAGCCAGATATGATGTTGATTTCAGTATATTGGGTTTGTTATTCTGCTCGCATTCATTCAGACAATGACGGGTGTTCTGGGATTCACCTACAAAGTGAGTTGTATATAGATTTTTAAGGTTTAAAAGAAAAACATTTATACTTTCAAGGACGCTACCCGTGAACGTATCCGCACGGATTTATTCCAAAATATCAATCGAACAGCTTTGGTGACCGGGAATGGTCGTGTTTTTGACCTGACCACATCGTGGGATAGATTGCAGAAGTCGGTGAGTGTGAAACCTATGCAGCTATACTTTACTACTATACTTATTGGAGTGCTCGAATCCTTATTTTTGTTGTTTTTTTTTNTTTTTTTTGTATAAAATAGGAGTATTAACTGGTAGCCTTTCCCGTATGCATTGTTAAGCTCGTGATATTTCCTCCCTGGGATGATAGGGTGCTCATCTCCGCCCGACTCTTTGCCTGCTTCATAAATCCCACCGCTACTGCTTGTTATGTAGGTGTTTGATCCCAGGCCCCACCAGTGCTTTGTTTCCCCGCACCTTTTACAACTCCCATAGGTAATCATTGAAGAAAGAAACTGTTCTTTGAAATTCTTTTGAGAACGATGGCTTCCCTTTTAGCTGGAATGCTGTGGAGTAAACAATGGGTCTGACTGGTTTTACTCCAGTCGATGGCCATCACACAGATTCGTTCCAAACAGTTGTTGTGATCCTAAACACTTCGAAAATGTAGACTCAATGAATAATTGTGGAAAAGTGGACAATAGTACTCTGCTGTTTCAACAGGTAAAGTTCAACCGCGATAAAATTTATGTAAGGTCTGATTTTTATTCATTCGAATGAGTTTATCCAAATGTTAAGGGATGCTACGAAGTGTTTGCTGATTGGCTTTATCATCATGTAGCCATCATGAATTGGATCTCTTTTGCATTACTTATCGCTGAAGTAAGTTCAATCCCACTATGCTGTTCATTTTTGTGTTATTTATTTTTAAATCTTTCCTTTCAGTTGGTATCTCTTGCTTTGGCAATTTCCCTCGCTAGGTCTGAATCATTCAAGAAGGGATCATCTCAATCACGGTGAGCAAAGTTTAACAGGTATTTCGTATTGGTTGCTATTTTGTATTGCCTCGTAGGCTCAATTTGTAAAGGTCCCCCAACCAGCCCTCAAAGCGGTGCTTGCTGTGAACTCATCAGGGCGAAAATTTGGCGTGTGCCGCACGCGATTTTTTCGCGCTTAGTCGCTTTCGGAGCTAACGTCACACTGCCATTAGCTCCCTCTTCTTTTTGAGCGTGTGATTCCACTAGGTTCCTGATGGCACTGAGCGGGGAAGATTTGGTGGTCACACCCAAATTTGCGTGAATATGACCCGCTGTTTTTTTTGCAAGCTTACTCAGGATTTTGGTGTTTAGAGGCTTTTTTTGGGCCTTGACTTTTGACTTTGAGTCTTTCGGTTCTTTTCCTTGGGAATTTTCAACTTTTCTCGGGCACTGAACTCTGTTTAAACGACTTAGCTCTTTTTCTTACTAACCCTTTGTGTGAGTAAGTATGGTCCGTTATCAAGTTGGAATGGGTCTTCTCAATTTGTCCGTTTTTTTTTTTTTTGAAAACTCCCATATTACAGAAGTTCGAGTTTTTTTTGTTTACGTGACATTTTTTCTTTGTAGGGAAAATTTCTAATTCTGCTTTAGAAGTGGTTCTTTCTTCAGTCGCGATGAATACCATCGTTGTTTGGTTGAAATGAATGATTTGGATGCTGCTAGGGATCTTCGTATCCGTCCCATGGACAGAATCGGTGATGCCGCTCAAGATCCATAGGATCATACCCTCTACCTCGGACGTTCTAACTTCTCATAGGTCTCGTTTGTACCCTAATGTTGTGTGAGAAAGCACGTTACCGTTCTCTTGTGGCACTTCTTACGATTGCTTAATCCGAAGTCAGTACGCACAACGATTTCGCATTGGAGCGCACAATCTAATGTCCCTCCTTCCCCATAAGTATGAACAACTAGGCCGCGCTTTAGGAAGCGTGTGTCTCGGAGTCATGGTCAAATTGATTCCGGTCTAGTTGGGTTTATTATATTTTCACCCAAATTTTTGTGTGTGAAGACTTCGGAAAAAGTAATCGTAAGTAGTTTTTTTGTCTACTTAGTCTATGTGCTCATCATTGTAGTCATACGGTTTCTTCTTGAAAGCATTTATCACCTTCTACTTTACGTGTTGTGTTGAGATTCCTCGTCATTTCATGGATGATTTCTCTGGAATATTTTTTATTTTTACGGTTTTTGATCATCCTCTAAGGTGTAAGTCTCTCCGGTTTTAAAGCATATGTCGAATACTGGTACAAAGCAACTTTTGTGGTTGATGATAGAGTACAACTTTGTTACTATTGTTTACTCAGGTGCAAATATTGTTAATATCATTGTTAATCGATTTTTTCTCATTAAAGATTTTGATATGATTTCATGTGTTACATTGTAACTTACTATATTACATTGTAATTTATTTCTTTAGAAGACAAAGGTAATATCAATACTGACGGTACACTGGGATCCATTGTGGGGCTCCGAATGAGCATATATCACCAAAGATCAAAATGATCGAAAAGAGTTTTGGAATACAGTCAAACGGGAAGCTCACGGATCTGTTTCCCCCACATCGAGAACAGAATACGTGGTAGTAAACTGGTAATCAGTGTACCAACCAAACATCACGTTATATAGCGTGTCTGTAGCATTTTCTAGAGTAATGTTACTGTTTATCATACTTACACAGCAAAAAACACGGTATTGCAAGCTTTACCTACATCTGAGAGAGCGTAATATAAAGTACAAGTGAAGTTTTTACTCCAATTCGCTCTATTAATAGATTTTCAACCACTTTCTTGGTGCTGAAGTTGACGGCAACTGGTACATCACTACCAATTTACGATTGCATTATAATAACTAAACTATTCTATATTTATATCAAACGATCAATATTTGTATGGGAATAGAATTTAATCGATGATCTATGGATGGCTTCAGCTCGTGACGTAGCCTGAGCTATGGTTTCATATTTCTATGCTACTCTGCTTTGGCACGAGCGATGGGCGCCCTTTATTCCAAGAACTCCAGAGGTGGAAGAAGAGTTTCGCTGTTCGGACGTAAGTCTCAAATCTTCAAAATTTTTATTCGTAGCCATTCTGTAGATCACACTAGGCAATCGATACGGTCACTACTTCAAAGGATTTTTAGTTGTTTATTTATTTTTTTTTAATTTTTTGCTTTCAAGTGGGGTAGGTTTGTCAAAAAACTTTTATTACCACTCATTTTATGTTAACTTGGAACTATCTACATTTTTTTGAATAGTTTTCTTGTAGAAACTGTAGAAACTGCTCTTGCCAGAGAAATGGACGATCAAAAGATTCGGTATCAACCGGAAAGCTTGGACATCCTTATGGAAAAGACGCATTTTTCAAAGTTCGAGCTAAAGTACCTGTATCAGTGCTTCAAACAGGTTTGTGACTGGTTAAAATATGTGAATTGATCGATACTAATTACTCGAAATATACTAACTTTCTGAAAAAGAAAGAAACACGTGATAGGAAGCATTAAGAGTAGGTTGGGCTCCAGAAGTGTACATAGGTAAAATACGCATTCAAATTCTTCCACGAATTTGAACATATGAGGGAATAAACATTCCCGACATTGCACAGAAACCGATAATTCCAGTCGATATCGATCGGGGCCCTACAACAAATGTTTTGTCACTTTTATTTCGGGCTAGGAAAATTATTTCTGAAAGGGACAAGCCGTAATTATTCGTGGAAAACTACTCTTGAGTTGTTACTTTCTATGAAATTTTTTTTCTATTTCTTTTTGTGAAATAATTGGCTAAGCTTTATATCGTACAGTAATGAAGTACTGTTCAACATATGAGTTCAATAATTCAGAACTGTCCAAGTGGTTATGTGACTCGTGAACAATTTATTGCTATCTTCAGATCGTTCTTCAGTATTCATCGACTTTCAGGTATCGGATGCTTACTAAGTAATAATTACTAGAGGTTTGCGAAAATTCAGCTTTCCTAACGCAACCTCATCCCATCTCCATGTTTTTGCAAAGGATGTTATGCATACTTGTTCAGATGCCACCCAGTACGCTGAGTTGGTCTTCAACACATTTGACGATGATCGAAATAACAGGATAAGCTTTTCGGTAAGAGCTGTATTAGCTGGCTTAGATTATAAAATTTCTAGCAGTCGAGGGAACGGATACTCCTCCTTCCCTGTTAGTCAGTCTATCGGTGAGGGAAATAAGATCACTACGGTCTACAAACCTGTTTGAGTCTTCCAAATATCTGTTCGGGTTGGAAGGAAAAGAGGATCGTCCTTTGTCCAAAGTGAGGGATTTCAAAGCCCTGCTTAAGTTCATACCATATAAGAAGCATCTCCAGATTTCTAAAAAGTTGTTGCCTTGAAAGAAGGGCTCGATTTTTAAGGTTGTGAAGGGTGGGCTGTGTTTGGGACTTTCCTCACGGCCTACCTTCTCCTCTCGACAAGGTATTTTTTTTAGTTAAGTACCCTCTAGAGAAGTAATGCATGGGATCCCTGAACGGAGATTTAGCTCATTTCTGGCAGGTTGTTCTTTAGTTCGAGTAGTGATTCAAGGTCATCATTCACAAAAGTCTTCAAATTGGTGATTCCTGTATTTTGAGGAATTCGCTATATTGTTATCGTTGTTTTCAAAAGGGACGTTAGAACAACGTTTGGAATGGTTATTCGATCTCTATGATTGTAATGGGCGAGGATATATCGTTGAAGAAGATCATATTACCGTGTGCAGGTCTGCTATGTAGCTTTTCTTGTCTTCTGGCTTTACTCAAGAAAAGAAAAGTATGAAATAAAAAATCGAAAGAGCTATGCACCAATTAATCGCTGTAGGATCTTTCCTTACCCAGTCCCTTTCATGGCTCCCAGTTAAACTACTTTGGTTCGGAGTACCTGTACAGATTCGCACTAGTAGAAGAATCGTCATTCTTTCATAACCATGTTGAGACTATACACTTTCGCAGAGTTTCATCTATTTTTTACGGAAATACCTTTTTGCGAAACGAGTTAGTGTAGTGGCAAGTTGCATATTACAGGTAGAATCTCTCTTGGATCAATACCCTCCCATGCTGATCAAGCCCAAGTGATTCTAGGAACATTAGTTTGGTACGGACTTATCTGTTAAAATAAAGGAACTAACGTTTGTACGTGGGCTGTCCCGCCCAAGTTATTGTAAAGGCCGAGTAACCATTGAAATGCCCTTGGGATCTCAATGATAGCTGAATGCGGGTGCGCTTCCTAAAAGGCAGAACTAATTATTCCCAGAATTATTTGACGCTTCCCTTTATCCATGGGCTGAAATTCTCGGGCCTTCACAA